CCCCAAAACCCCCAAAACCCCAAAACCCCAAAACCCCTGTATATTATATCAAATAAAACAAGTCGATTCAAATAAGTTAAAGTAATATAGATTAATCTCTAAAACTACTATTCTTACCTTCCCAATGATAATATTTTGATAACTCTAGTTAAATTATTGGATATCATGATAGATCAATTAATTGCATTCATTATTGCTTCATATCAGATTCATGCTAGCATTAATTTTGATTTTTAATATTTTACTAGTGATTGCTTTATTTCTGAGATTACTATGGATCATAAATTTTCTTATTAGTTTAAGCCTTTCTTATTGAGGACTTTTCGAAGACTGGAAAGAACTGAAATATGTTCTTTTCCTTAATCATACTGAATCCTTCTTTCCCCTAATTGATAGTCATCTTGCTCGATGCTGCCTTTTCAGGATTATTCATGAGATAATTCCAGGTTTGCTCATTTAGTTTTCTGAAACCTTCAAATTTATCGCTGCTTTCTTGGCTGGCATTCTCCCCATATGTAAAAAATTCGAAATCATTTTTTACCCCTTGATGATCTGTATACCCAAAGAAGTTGAGTAAATCTTCTAGATTATCCATGATGTATTTCATCTAAGATTCTGTATACTTATCCTTGTTCTTATTTATTCCTCCTTACCTCGGCTTATAAAGAGTGTTTCCCTTTGAGCCACTATTGATTACTTCAATAATGCGCTATTCAATAAAAGTTCCTTTGATGTCTTTTACTCTTAAAGCGAAACTGAAGATCTCAGATAATGTAGACTGGGCATCTAACAGTAAATCTTCAAACCTAAAGAACAAGATTGGAACCTCTTGCTTTTAAGCCATATCAATCCAATATTAGTGCCATTTTTTCCAGATCATTACTTCTTAATTGACATGCAATGCCCATTCAGGATATTGAGTAAAGTCTTCATTAATGTCTTAGTTGTGGCACATTGTGCAAATTTGTAATAATTATGAGACAAAAACATCTAAGGGATTTCTCACACAACATAAAATGATACCTGTCTCATAAGAGTGATCATAGGGTAGTCTGTAAGGAAAATGAGTCTTGTTGATCCATACTCTATTATCAACTATTCCTTCTCCTTTGAATCCTGCATACTGCAGAGCAACATTCAGAGAAAACTTCATTACCATATCAGATCCTGTCGCAATCCCTGTAATAGTTTCAAAGTACTTTCTAAGGAATGTATTCCCTGACCTTGGAAATGACGTGTAAGTTACCCCTAATTCCTTAGTTGGCATCAAAAACCTTGTTTAAGTCCCAATAAAATTTGCTTTTAAAGTTTCATAATTAACTAAATCTGTTGATAGGAAAAAATCTCTCAGGGAATTTAGATCTATTTGCAAGTCATTTTTATTTACTACCAGAAAATTATCGTCAATGAAATAGCCTGGGTATATAGCCTCAATTTATTCTGAATACTTCTTGTAACTCTAATCAATTTAAGTCATTGAAAATTTTGAACAATCTGGGTTAGAGTAGAATGCATTAGATCTAAAGAGATTAGTGAAGACAGGATCAATCATTAGATTGAAGATCTTCTTGAACAAGATTCCTGTATGATTCTTCGATTCCTTGCTAATCTCCATATAATAGAGGCCATCTGAATAGGGTGGTTATTGCTGAGCTTGAACTATATCTATAGATTTGAGGATTGTTGAGGAAAACATGGGTAAAAGCAAGTCTACTCCAAAGTCAAATATTTTCTCCATTTTATAGTGAATGCTAATAAAGTTATGTGATCGTGCTTTGAGCTGACTTTAATTGATTTAATTTTAGAAGTAAGCAAAATATTATTCACATATATCTCTAAAATTAGAATAAATTTACTAGACCTTAATTTAATGATTACTGGTTAATAAGTGATTAAGGGGTTTTGGGGTTTTGGGGTTTTGGGG